TAATTGACAAGTTTAAAATCTTAAACACATTTGTTTGTTTTTCAAGACAGTGAAAAGATAATAATTAAAACATTTAGTGTGTGAGATTGTCCAATGGCTGGGACTGTAAAGTTGTCACCTCTGCTTATATAAAGGAGGGTTTTAATGAGTAGGACAGTTTTATGTGGTCAGCCCTTTGAGCTGAGGCCAAGAAACAACCAAGGATCCTCTGGAAATACAGAAACTTGTTTAAAAAACTTTTAATTGTGACATTTTATCCTCTCATATCCTCTAATCCTGTCACTTACATTTGAGTGATTTTTCTTTCTTTTTTTTTTAAATCATTTGTATTAGGAAGTTAAAACAGTTGATTTAGGGTCCATTTCAGCGACTGCATATCTGTGGTTAGTGGTCACACGTTCGGCTACTTGAAGACACTTCCTCCGCCTGTGCTTAACCCCTCGACCCGAGAAAGTAAACGTGTAATGCAATCTTGCACTCGGCCGTCTACAAAGTGTAGAAGACTTACGGTTACAGATGCCTGTGCAGTAAAGAAGATTTAAGCCTCGGCTACGGAACAGGAATAGGCGTCGTGCTCAACACCCAACTTCCTTTATGGCAGCCGATGTGGGCTTTTGTATATAATCATTTAAAGGTTTTTCAATTTGAGTATTTACAGTGCTCATTAAAACATGTTCATTATGACTAGTTTGTGCTTCGTTTATAACCGTGTAACATGAGTTCCACAGTTGCTTCCCWGGACGGAGAAGTTTGCGACGGTGAGAGGGTCACAGATTAACTCTAAGTACACGGCACTTTGAGAAGATGTTTGTTTAAAATAGTAGGAGAACCCCCACCACCCCCAGCCCCCCGCCCCACCTTCACCTCCATGCAACACTCCAGTGATAGACGCCTCTCTCTCTATCGGAGGATTTGCGAAGCACAAACAGATCTGAGCGATGAACTGTGACGAGTAGGAGAATTTCTCTTTAAGCTTTCCAAACTTCAACTTTGCATGTGCAGAGAGCAGAGCAGGGGGGAGGAGGCCAAAACAAAGCAGCCTTTAAATATATAAATTTTTTACTTCATGCTAAGAATGAAATCACACTACCCACCATAAAGAAAAGTTTTTTTTATATAAGTAATTATGTTCTTCCACTGTTTTGGTGTGAGAGTGTAATGCCTGTGAGATCTGTAAAGCCTCACTGCTCCGCTGACAGCAAGTAAAAACTGAGCTGTAAAAAAACAAAATTAAGGATTATTGTCCAGAAGTTTTTATTTTTAAACACGAAGGCGTAAAGGGGACGGGTCAGACAAAGGCTTAGCTCTCCTCCCTGACTGATTTATCTGACTGAACATTTGGTGTTTAAATATAAACTGACCCGATATGCAGATATTTGCCCTGTGTGTTGTTTGATGTGGCAGAAATAGGTCTCCAGGTTGATATCCGGTCAACATGTAAATTATCATCAGCGTGTTTGATTTTTTTTTTTTGTCTCTCCTGCAAGTGTGACCTGATTGTGGTAAATCTTCATGCAGATGTCAAAATATTGCCACGTTAAGAGCCTGATTGTTTCAGACTAATGGTCACTCGGCCTCTCTGATTGGTGCGCTTGGCTGCACTTCTCTGCGCACTCKGTCTGTCATTGGCCCTGCGCCGGTTTAGCGATATGAATATTTGCATTTGGTTCAATTTATCGTTTTCCTGTTGTCTGTTAATTCCAGTCTGCAGAGCAGCCAGTGACCCATGTCACAGAAACTTCTTCGCCACCCAGTTGCTTGAGCAAGACCACAAACTCCCACACTCCAAACTGGACTCTTAAATTCTTGTCACTTAACTAAAAGATGACAGATTTAAGCGTTTTGTCTGTTTTTTTTAGGAACGTAAATGACCTGCTGATTGATGACAAAATCTCCCCGTTAATTTTTTTCATGAGTAATCAAAAAAAAAAAAGAAACCTCTTTGATGGACTGGCTCATTTGGCCAATAATTTATTCTTCAACCCCTGTATCCATGCAAGTTAATGAAGCATTAAGGGGAGTTTYTGTTTAATTGCAAAGCATTCTTAAATAAAATCATTCAATGATAAAACTGCACGGTAAAACCCCCCAAACTGTATTAAAATTCAATAACATCATAGCATACCACTTATTATTTTTTTTGCATTTTGTATAACATTAAATGAACATAGCCCTCACAGYTTTTTATGTCCAAAAAAAAAAAGTTGGCTTTCTTCCATCTCAAAAGCAAACCCTCTTGGCCAAGAAAATGTCAACTTTATAAAGAAAGCTCTGCTGCAGCTGCTTTAGCTTATGCTTGGTGTACTTACTGATTAACTTTAACAAAAACACTGCAGCCTAAATAATTTTCAGCTTGTTAATGAATTGATTTAACATTAATTACGTAAAGAAACATTTCTTTTTAATACGTGGAGCAGCAGGTTGAAGGGCGGAAAAGGGGAGGTGAAGCACGAAGGAAAAAGCTGCATTTTTGTTCAGCCTGTGCCTCTGGGAGCAACATGCCTGTAAACTATAGCATCCCTCCACATCTCATAAAAAGCTGCTGTGCTTCTATTTTCATTAAAGAGTCTAAAACTTATGTTGTTGTATTTTTTTATTATTGCTGTTATTTACCGCTGCCCTAAAGAGCAAACATGACAGGAATTCAGATTTCATAGCATGCAAACAGCTCTGGATATGAAAGAATGTCATAATAAGGGCGAGAAAATGTAAACTTTTTTTTCTCCCTCTGTGCAACGATGACTCTGTGCTTTGTAGCATGGAACAGAATCCATTATCAATGCTCTCTTTGTGTATTTGATCTTTAAACAATAGGTCAAATTATTAATAGGCGCTTTCAGGCAGAGACGCAACACAAGTTTTCTAGAGATTGAATCCCTCTGCAGTCGTATTTTAAAGAAGTAGCACAGTGATCTGCTTTGATTAATTGCATGTTTACAGTGGAAGGTGATGAAATGAGTGCAAGCATCTTCTTACATTGTGTGTCTCTACTTCTTCCAGTTATCTACCCTGGTTTGAAATCTACTACAAGCTGCTAAACACACTGGCTGACTACCTAACAAAACAGCAGGTAATCCTATATCCAAATATCAACTTTATTGCACGTGATTATTGGATGAATATAAGCTGCAGTGTTTGTTCTTTACATGAAAGAAAAACAAAGCAAAACGATGGCATGATTTGAATGATTTTTTTTTTTTTTTTTGTCTTTTGGGGGAGAATTCTCCCTCCGCTGTTCGTCTGCATGTTTTCTTTGTCTGCAACTTTTGTTCACAATCTTGGGCTCGAATGGGTTCCTCTTGTTAGCAGCAACAATGTTGACATTTCACAGACCCAAACGCTGATCTGACACGGGAAGTTATTCCTGATGATTTACTGGAAAACAAATCGTTAAGAAAGAGACGCGCACACACACACACACACACACACACACAAACACAAACGCTCGTACTTCACAAAAGCTCTTCTCCCCTGACTATTCGCTGCATTGTACCAGCAAAGGGAGGGGAAATGTAAAATATGCAACAAACTGGGGAGATATGCGAGTCTGGTGCACAGGGTGTAGGTGATGTTCTACTGTTTAGACTGAGGTGGTGGTGGTGGGTGGTGGGTGTTGCAAGGGAGACACGCAGAGAGCTTTGGGACCACTTTTCAATTGTCATGTAGTCACTGCTTCTCCCAGCRTCCTCGGGGAAACGTGATCAGGACAAAGTGTCTCGCGCGAAAAAGACAGTCACATCACATAAACAATCAACATCCAAAGTTCTTCAGCTAAAAGGAATCCAGTGGAATAATCTAATGTGGTTAAAAACTAAAAACAAACAAAAACCCAAACAGAATAGGACAGTTTGTGAGTGAGGAGAGAGACAGAAAAGCCTGCTGAAAATCCTGGGTGACTGAAATGTTAGCGTGCATGATTTGGTTTCTATTTACCCCGCTGTCCGTTTCAGGCGAGAGGGAGATGTTGACAGACGAGGGAAGACAGAAGAGCGATGAGGGTTTAAGGCGAGGGGTAAATGAACTGTTTCCCCAGGCCGTGTTGCTGACCATGCGTGTGAGCATTGAGCCTCTCTTGACAGGAGGCTGTTCGATTGCACACACCCCCCCCCCCYCCTCTGCTTTACTGTATATCGCCACCCATCGCTTCTCTCGTTCTGTGGCTTGCGTGCGTGCGTGCGCGCACACACATTTATTTTTCTCACAGAAGCGTCGGCTTAAAGCCAACACCAAAACAAAGTTCTTGGAGAGGGCATCAAAGGGAAAAAAAAAAAGAAAACAGAAAACTAAACAATAAAGTTCGACCTCTCCAGCAGTTTCAGTAACTACTTTCACAGAAGTTAGAAGTTGTGCTGTTATTGTTGCCCGTTTTAGATTTTTTTGATTCGTTTATTTATTTATTTTTTGCAAAAGACATGAGTGTGTAAACAGCAGGCATGAACTCTGGCAAGAACTCGTAAATTCTTAGGGAAAAAAAGGATCTTAAGGCCTGTTCTGTGGTCATTTTAGCTCTCTGATAATTTTCTAAAGCCCGTGTTGTTTGGGGTGGGGGAMCCCCCCAGTTAATTAGCGACAGGCCGCGCTCGGCCGTAAATCAACGCTGGCTGGATAATAGGAAACTGCAGCCGTCGACTCAGCCGTCTTTTAACCTCCCCGGTTCTCGTTAAACATATGTCAGTCGGATGTGGTGGAGCCCTTCAGGCCTCGCTGCAGGATTGCCCTCTGGTCTGCGGCAGCGCCTGTCCCAGCTCCGTTGTTAAGATTGACACATAACTTGTGACATCAACGAAACAAGTAAATGTAAATCCTGTGTCCCATGTTTTTGTTTTTTTGTTTTGTGTGTTTTTCATACTTTATTTTTTTCTTCTTCCGTTTGTTTTCCCTCCCTCAGGAAAATGCCTTGAACGACATGCTGAATTCTCTCTATGAGCTGCCTGTGCCAAAGCCCTTCACGCCAGTCAACCTGAGTGTGGTAGGTATATCTATTCTGCTAGATCAGATCCAAGACAGCTGAGATTGAGACAGAGTTGGAAAGCTACTGCCGCAGCGTGTTGCATCAGAGGAGGCTATAACAATTGGCTGAAGTAGTTAAARGTAGCGAGACACTGAAGACGTAAGGTAGAGACTAAAAGCGAAGCGTAATGAGAGCTAAAATGAAATTGACACGTGGAAGGAATAAAGGGAGGCAAAGATGACAAGGGGTTAAAGGGAAAAAAAGAGCAAAAACAGGGGAATGGAACAAAGTGCAGAGGTTGAGATGTGAGGGATTAAACGAGGGAAAGGCAGAGGAGSTTCAGACACGTCGGGCAGGGGCAGAAAGACACGCAGGGCCCGGGACTGACGCTGTGTTTGGAAACAAGAAGTGGCGCTTACAGGTTTTCGTGTGATAAGCTCAAGCTGGACATGTTTAAAGTCGAAGGGTCCTTTCACAACTCATCATGTCTCCTGCTTATCAAAACCTGAAACAGCTGAATGAGCCCAGGTCCGTCAAAGTCAGCTTCTGTTTGAGTTAGCTCGGACACTATCGCTGATGGGACGCTGCCAACATAAAACAGTCGCATCCTTAAAGGGGACATATCATGCAAAATCCACCTTTTTAGCAGTTAAATACATTTTGTTGTGTACTTCGAGTGTGTAGGAGTGCAGAAAATTAGAATTTAGTCTCTCCTGGTGCTGCAAAAAAATCTTTATAAACTGTTTGGGTCATATTTTTCAACCTGTTCAATTTTCTCCATTTTCTACGATGTTTTTCTGAACAATTACGTCAAATTATTTGCAACAGAATTGCCAAATAATGTATTTGATGATCTTCATTCTCCTCTGGTTCTGGGTCAGACTTTGGCTCCAACATGTAAGGAGACAAGTCTTCCCTTGTTGACATCTTTTAATTCATTTATAAATAAAAAGATTCTGCGCTGCTATATAGTCATGAATCCCTCTTGAAAGATAACATGTTCATTGACTTCGGTGCAAGTTGAGAACCAGGAAACAAATACAGAATTAGACTTGAATGTTTAAGTTCATGAAATAAAACATAACAACTGAACTAAAATGCAGACCGTTGATTCACTTGTAGGATTTTGGCCTTGAGCCAAAACAAACCAACACATTTGATCTATTTTCTTGGGGATCTGGCCTCACCTCAGGGGCAAGACGTCACATCGATTGGGAGGGTCAGATCCTTAAACGACAAACTGAGTTCTGATTAGAAAATAGCTAAGTGATGATGTGTTTTATGGTGATAAGTGTGTGTTAATATATCATTTAAAAACACATTCTGTTTAAGACCTTGGCATCAGTCATTCAGAGCAGATTGCACATCAATTTATCACAATTTAATCATAAAAATAGATAATTACGCAAGTAGATTGTCTTTGAAATTGTCTTATTCTCAATGTAAAAGCAAGAATGTGTAGTGCATTAAAAATTAGTGTTAAATGGAATAAATTTTCCTTCACTCTATCAAACTAAAATGGACCGGTCCAGAAGTTGGAGGGAGGCAGGGTGTGAAGCGCCTTGTTTGGATTTAAAGAGACAGCCTCAAAACAAGTTGATCTGAGACACACCTCAGAAAAGGGGTGAAATAGGGGCTTTTGGGGTTACAATAAGGAGGAATTCAGAACAAATTGTTGCTTCCACTTTATATAGACCCCAAGTGAATGATTTAAATGTGAAAAGGAAAGGTTTAAAAGCATGATATGTCTCCTTTAAGCTAACCCTGTTTACACTGAAGGTAAAGGTTTCGATTAGTTTTCTAAACTCACCGTCTGTTTTTACTCAAATGGGATCCAAACAGCTCCAGTGTCCTTTTTCCTCAAACAATTCTTTAAACCAATTAAAGCAACAACTGTTGGTCGTTCTCTGCAGCTCCCATCTCTGAGGGATATTTACTCGTTTGCGCAAATAAATTTAGAACCAAACAGTTAAATATATGCGTTAATCAATGGGTTCATGTGTAAGCTAATGAGCTTTATTTCTCTTTGTGTGAGTTTTCAATAAAACTCCTTTATCTCTGACTCAAAGCTTCGTTGAAACAGCAGCCCGGGAGAACAGAGGTGATGGCTTCATCTTGTTTCTAGAGAAGCCACTGGTTTGATATTTAATTGATGAAGCAGAATAATTCCCTTAAAGACTGWTTTTTTATTTTATTTTATTTTTTTAGCGAAGGAGCAGAATCATTGTCCCCTTTCATGTGTGAACCCTGTTTTGCTCTCTCTCCCTGTCTTATTGTGCAAGAATGAGCAGTTGTATATTGCCACTGGGCAAGTACTGAGAGATGGGCGAAGCAAGGAGCCGGTGAGTGGAGAGGAATGAGTGAGTGGCAGCAGAGGATGGAGGGAGAGGAGGCTGCTGTGAAATATGAAACCGCTTCTGTACTAATCGCATGGGAGCCACTGATTTCCAATTTGGCCAAATAAGCTGCGCTTTCTTTTTTAAACATAACAAAAAAAAAAAAAAAGAAAGAAAAAAGAAGAAGCTATCCTGGGTCTTGGTGTGTGTTTCTTCGCCTCTGGAAAACAATCAAACTTTGTAAATGATTAATGCCCTTCCACTCTGCTATATTCTCTCTCTCTCTCTGAATATCAAAAGTTTTTTTTCTTCTTTTCTTTATGTTTAAAGCAAAGGCAATTGTGTTAAAAAATCTGCTTGATGCTTTTCCAGTTAACCCACTTTCAATGTTTTTTTTCATCGTATAAACAAGTCTTCGAAAGAAGAAGAAAAAAAGACAGATAAGCAAGCAAACAGCYAATGAAAGCTGTGCTTGCACTAAGGAGCGTGGCTTGTGATTATCACGATGCCATGCATTTTGTAGACCAACAGGGGAGCATTATTTAACTCAAAGTACAAGAAAAGAAAAGAAATACGGAAACAGACTGTAATTGATTTATATAGAATTTAGATGTTTTCTCTGAGGTATGACTCGAGTCCTTCATCTTTTCATTGAGTGTGTCTRCAGTCGCTTCAATATTTAAAATATTCTAATAGTAGTTCTTGGATTAGTTTACTTGGATACTTTGTTTTGTCTACCTTTCAAATAAATAAAAAAGTATATTTTAAGAATAATGACAGCTTGGTTGGACTTTAAAAATGCATCACAGTTTAATAAAACAGCTTAAACACAAAAGATGTATTATTTGAAAGGAAATACTCATTAGGAGCAAATCTAGAGTTTTCATGCTTTTGGGGCTTGATAAAGTTTGCATGTTTTCACTGTCTTGCTTTAATATTTTTCAAAGAGTGAATTCTTATTTTATTGCTTCTTTTACTCCCCAGGTTCATTTAATCACAAACTAAACAATAATGTTATTAAAAAACCATAATAACCGTATGGAGCAAGGTTTTTTACTGAGTAAGCGCAAAAAAAATCCTTAAATGCTGCAAATTTTCACCGCTTTTAGGCAAAAAACGTAACTGTTTTTTTACTATAAAACCTCCAATGAATCAGATAATTAGTAGTTTATTTTTATTCTAATATAGTTTGGAACAAAGCATCTGGTCAGTCCAAACAAATATTGTATCATTGACTCATTTATTTATGTAAATACTAYAGCCGGTTTAAAGTTGAAATGTTCAGGTTATAAATTGCCACGACAACAATAGATATATTTCCTACACGTTTTAATAGTAGCTGGGCGAAATCTGAATAAAAATATGACCATTATATCTTACGAGTTTAAATAAATTCACTTGTCATAAATAAAAGGGCACGTAGGTGTTGAAGAATGGCACGCACATTTATCTTTTGTCTGGGGAAAACAAAAAGTCAGGCAATACAAGGCCTGGATGTTGGTTCTAGTTTGTTTGTGATGCCTCTTTATCTTCAGCGAGCTCCGCTCAGCTACAACAATGACCGTCCTCTGGGAATAAAACCAGTGTTTACTCATAATAATCGTTTTCACCTTTTTATTTATTTATTACACATACGCTTATGGGGGGRAAATATTTAGTTTGTTTTTAGATTATGAAGCGTCAGGATTTTTTTAACCCCTGCTAATCACACTTTTGGTTGCTGATAAGAAAAAAAGGTCTTACAACTGAGTGAAAATCCACTTTTATAAAGATTTCGGTTATGATGCAATTATTACACATTTGAAAGAGATTTTTTAATTAGTGAAAATATGTGTTGGGGCAGTTTTGATGCAATAATTAAAAAAATGGCAGCAGATAAAATTAGCTCGTTATATTAGGCTATTTTTATTTGCATGGTCATATTTTTTTATTATTATTTATGCATGATTTTAAAATTTCTTCTCATTTATTGTGCTTATAATTGGTGGCAATCCATTTTGGTTGTGATTCTTTGAGTTTCTGATTTAGAATTTTTGTTACATAGATCTGGTTTTGGTTTTTAATCCTGTTATTTTTTTAATAATATTAATCCTTTTATTGCTTATTTAATGGTGTCTGTTATTTATGGTTCACTATATATGTTGTTTTTTTTTTTAACATTATTCTTTCTTTCAGATTAAAGTTCTCAGTGGTCACTGTTTATTAGCCTAGCACAAAAATGTATCAGTTGAGTGAAATTTAATCAATTTGACTAAATAATTTGAAGACTATTCACAACTTTGGAACTCTAAAAACTGAAAAAACAGTTTGAAACACAATTAATTTAAACGAGGAGTGGCAACAGATGGTTGAGCGATGGCCCAGAGAAATGCAAGTGTACCGTGTGTGTGTGTGTGTGTGTGTGTGTGTGTGTGTGTGTGTGTGTGTGTGTTAGAGACACAATAATGTGTTTCTCTTGGTGGTTTGTCTACCTCCAAACAGCACCTCTCTCAGGCCCCTTTGATCTGAACACTGAACCTGCCCTGCTCTCCCAAAGTGAGACAGGCAGCCCTGTGATCCTCTAAACAACNCCCACTCTCTAAAAACTGACCTTGATCATCTGGTCAGTAATAAATGCAACTTACTTTACTTTTACATGSAGGGAAAGCAAGAATATAGGCAAACTGGGGGAAAAATAGCCTTTGTTAGTTGTAAACATTTAATTAAAACTGACATGAAATATGATATTAGATACAGTATTAGATATGTTAAAGGGGATATTATCCAAAATCCACTTTTTTAATTGTTAAATACACTTTGTTGTGTATTTGAAGTGTSTGTGAGAGCAGAAAAGTTGAATTTAGTTTCTTCTGGTGCTGCGTAGATATCTTTATATTCTGTTTGGGTAATACATTTGCTGAACTATTGTTACATTATTTGGGACATAACTTCTCAATAAGGTCTGGACTTACCAACTACAATTTTGTGGTCTTCATTCTCCTCTGGCTCTGAATGGACAAGTCTCCCTTTTTGACATCTTTGAATTATTTGTAAGTAAAAGTTTCAATGCTGTTATATAGTAGTAGTAGGAGTTTGTAGTAGGAGTATACCAAACTAGAATGGACTGGTCTGGAAGCTGGAGGGGGGCGGAGCTTGAAGCGCCTTGTTTGGATTTAAAGAGACAGCCTCAAAATGAGTTGATCTGAGACACACCTCAGAAAAAGGGGTGAAAGAGGGGCTTGTGGAGTTACAATAAGGAGGAATTCAGACCCAATAACATACAGTGTGTGTGTGTGTGTGTGTGTGTGTGTGTAGGGGTGTGTGTGTGAGAGAGAGAGTGATGTGCACATATACCTTTTGTGTATGTGTGTGCGTTGGTGCTCTGCAAACCTTTTTAATGCTTAAATAAAGACTCAGTTTTCCACCGGAGACATCACCACAGTGTGTGTCTGTTGGGAGCAGAGCTGCTATTGAGCTTTCTCTGTTCTGCAGGCCTGATAAAAGCATTGCCACAGTTCAGACACCAGCTCAGCAATTCATATAGACAGAGCAGAAGATGAGCCATAAATCATAGAACAAAGTGAATGGCCTTTTTCTCCCCTCTTCCCCCTCATTCTCTTCTGAATAAGTGCTATGCTTCACTTGTGACCTTCCCTCTTCTTTTTCCTGCATGTTTGTGTGTTTTTTTTTTTATTATTTTTATTTTTTTATTTTTTTGCAGCACTCCTACTTCATCGCCCCGGATATCAATGGACTGCCAACCATCCCTGAGAGTGTAAGTGCTCATGGAAAAGAAAAAGGAAAGAGAAACAAAAGGAGATAAAGAAGAGATCCCTCCCTTATGGAAACATCTCCGTCTCTAATCGTTTTTAATCTAATACACATGTCACCGTTTGAAATGATTGCATCATCCTCTTGTTTCAGTTTTATCTCCTGCGGTGCTTGTGCTTTTAAYGGTGAAGTTCAGTGATTGGCATAAAAGATTCAAACCGAGAGCATGTTCTTTGTTGATTTTTAGATTCAACTTTAAGCTTAAATCTTTATGGCAAGGGACATTACATGACAACAATTAACTGTCACTCGGATTGACTGAGTGAAATGTGATGTGTTTTCTGAACATGACTACTTTTGATGGATCAAAGACAACAACAAAAAGTTATTTTTAATGCAGATCAGGCTTTATTGTTGTGGCAGGCTTTTCCTCAGCCGGTACTGACTTCAGCACATAAGACACATRCAGTCTGCAGCTTTTGACATCTTAATGTAAATCGAGCTACGTTTGGCTGAAAAATCTCCATTTCATTTTCAGAGGAATCTAACGGAGTACTTTGTGGCTGTGGACACCAACAACATGCTCCAACTCTACGCCAGTATGCTGCACGAAAGACGCATCATCATTACCTCAAGCAAGCTTAGCACTGTGAGTCCTTCCTGTCCACAACTTCCACACAAGTTGGAAACCAACCCGCCCGAAGAATAACTTTAATTAACAGGCTTATTTTGTYGCGGGGTTTTGAATTAACTCAAATAGTTGTAATTTAAGAGTTTAATTTTTTTTTTTGAGGACCAAAAATGCAAGTTTGCATGCTTTAATGTTTGCAAACTATACCAACTTTATTGGGCTATATATTGGTAATGGGTTCCTTACTTATGTCTCCTTGAGACTCAACCC